CGTGTGTGCACGTGTATCTGTGTGTCTGCGTGTGTCCGTGCACGCGTGTGCGCAGCGCGTCCGCGTTCGACCGTGAACCATTGTCTCTCGGACTGTTGAAGGTGCGAAAAAATGTTTGCGCGGAAGTTACGTTCTACGAGTGGCTAACGGTTTACGGAGGAATTCCTCTCGTATCATTGATTTCATCATCTACGCCCTGAATCGTGTCTACAACGAACGCATAGCTTCTCCTCGCGAGCTCAGAGTTGAAATAAATTGCAAGCCGATCAATTAACAACACAAAAACGAACCTCTGTCGGATGTTCGCGGATACCCTGACTTCTAAGCGAATTTCTCGCTGCCACCTTGAACGCTTCGAAAGACAAGAATTCAAAGACGCGAGCACGCTGTTCACGCGCGCGTGTTCCGTGTGGGCGGCCAGGTTCCCGTCACCGTGGCGACCGAGTCTTCCGATCGAATCCCAAACGCGACGAGACGGGAACCCGTCGTGTCCGGATCGCGCGACGATCTCGGCTGGAGGGGTCGGTTAAATACGAAGAGAGATTAAATTGACTCTGGGCGATCGACGATCGCGCGGATTTCGAAATATCGTGTCCCGGTGACGCAGTTCACCCCGAGATCGTTCACTGGTTGTGCAACCGTCCGCCGGAAGCTTTCACTTGGTTGTTGGTAACTTTCGGTATCGCGCCGATGATCTTCACGCGGTTCTGTTGCTGCTGCTGCTGCTGCTGCTGCTGCGGCGGCTGCGGCGATTGTTGCTTGTTGTCGCAGAACTGGGGCGGGGGCGCGAACACCATCTCGTCCGGGTTGCCGGCTGAGGTGCCGGCGTTGAACTCCGGCGGCGGTGGCACGAACAGATCGTTGCTCTGCTCCTCGGCGTCCGCCTCGATCGGAGGCGGCAGCTGAGCAAGGCTCACCGCGTGTCTGGTCAGTAATCCGCTGCCGCCGTAGCTGGTCCTCTTCGTGTTCGGCTCCTTCTCGGTGACCGTCAGAACCGTCGCCGGGTGCTGGGCAGCTTCGTTCGCTAAATTCCTCGCGGCCGTGTCGTCGAAACCGGTCGGCGGGCCGACCGGTACATCCTGATCGGAGCTGACTCCGCTCGAGCTGTTGTCGCCGTCCTCGGCGAGCGAGCCGGTCTGCTGCAGCAGGAAGTCGTTGGGATGGCTTTTCGACGACTTCAGCTGCGTCCGGACTTTCTGGATCTCGTCGACGCTGAACGAGTGCGGCAACGAACTGCTGCCGGACGAGCTCGAGCCGGAAGTGTTCGAGTTGCCCGAGGTTTCTCTGGTCGACTCCAGCTTCTCCCGCGCCGCGGCTTTCTCTAGCTCCTTCGCGATCTCCGATTCGCCGTCGTCGTCGGTCTCCTCTTCGCCTTCGTCGTTCTCCGACTCGGACAGACTGTAGTCCGGCTCCGGGATCGGCGGCGCCGTGGCCGGCACGTTCGTCCCGGTGTTGTTCGACAGCGACGAGAGGTTCGTGATGGACGCGCTGGTCGCGATACCCTTCTTCTTTCGCTCCCTGATCCCGGCGGTGCTGTGGCTTCTGTTCGTCTTTAACGGTTGCGCGTACTGGTTGTTCGCCGACTGGCTGCTGTTCACCTGGTTGTTCGCGGCGACCGTGTTGTTCGCGTTCTGCTGGTTGTTCAGGGGTTTGAACGTCGTGTTGTTCGTGGTGCGCAGGCTGTGGGACTTTCTAACGTGGCAGCGGGTCGTGTGCGCCGGCAAGCTGCGGGAACGGTACCCTACCGTCTTCATGTCCTCCGGCGAAGCGTACAGCTTCGCGCTGTTCGATGGCCGGAAACTTGACATCACGCCGTAACCACCGTCCGTTGACGCGGCTGCCAGTTCTGCAAGACGAGGAGTTACTCATTGCGATATGAGGAGCTTCCGTACTGTCTGATCTAGTCTAACAGTTCAGTAGCTTTTCACAACTGTTCGACATTTTCCGATGAAATATATACGTGCTTTGAAACTAGTTAACGAGAAAACATACGCTATTTTAATGTTACATATATGTAAGACTTTCTAATTTCGCTACGTCGAATATCAAATGCTGTCCGAGCGCAAAGGGTTAATAGACTCGCGCACGGTTTACCGCGACGTTTCGAGAGCGCCGTACCTTTGACTTGCTGTATGTGAGCCATGTTATCGTACACTGAAGCCGGTGTAACCACGTCCGGCACGTTGGCGCCTACGTTCACTTTGACGACTTGGCCGACCGGCGGAGGTGGCGGCGGATGGTTCGGTGGTGGAAGTCCGTTTCTGCCGTTCATCGCGTTCACGTCCTCCTGGCTCCTATGCCCTTTCGGCGCTAAAATCGACGACTGCACCTGCACGTTCAGATCCGGCGTGCTATGGAAATCTCTGTGCAGGTCGGAGCCACCGCCCAATCCTCCGAAGAAACGCACTCTCGAGTTTGACTGTAAATAGAGAAGCCATTGAATAGGGGCGGACGGTCCGGGATTGCGCGTCTGCGTTCACGAAGACAACAGCTGGACGCATAGCACTACTATTCTACACGACCATCGGTACGGAAAGCGTTAGAAAGAAGCGGGCTACGGTCAAGACTTGACTTTTTACTCGTTAAGTAAGGTATTTTAAGAACGGAAAAAGTATCGATTGTTAAACGCGAACGATTCGATGCTCTAACATTCGACGAAACTGCGGCTGGTATTCCCGATCAAGTCGTAAACAATGGTACTAACGATCCTGGCAAATTACGAAACAGTATATCGCCGTGCAATAAGTGAATTACGCTCGATCCCGAGCAATTGTTGAGTTTAATGACAATGCGGATTGTGCAGGAGATTAACGGTAAACACGGTGTCTTTGACCGATATATAGACGGTAAAAAGGAAAACGGAAGTTATTTATGACTCAACCGAATACTTCTGTGTCGACACGGTTCAGGTAGTCGTGTAAAATAACTGCGCCCGGTGAACGTGTTAGGAAATTCTGATTCACCGTCGCGCGCACCAGTACAACCCGCGTTAACATCTACGAGTACATACATCTAAACAGCGTATAATTACAACAGACAGGTATTCGTGGAAAGAGAAAGGTGTCCTGTGATTTTAAGGGAGTATACACACCGAGGACTAAAAGAGTTGTTTCGAGAAAAACTTACAGGCATTGTTCTCGTTGTTTGTCTGGTGTCTTTACGATCCTAAATTGCCACATCGAGAACAGCGTGTAAATTGACAAATAGATGTGCAAAATCTATAGTACGTTCAATTGTGCGTTATACGATGCAACGAAAAATGCGGTGAACTTCTTAAAAGAATACAATCTCTATCGGATACGTCGACCATCGAACGTTTACGTTACAAACGAAGAAGCTCAATCGGTAATCTATAAATCGGTAAAACAGTCTTGAATCGCCCAGCCGCGAAGCGCGTTTAAAAGTCAGCAAATTATCCCCAGAAACTTGGCAAACTACCGGGAAAAGATACGTTTGATGCGTCGATGTTCCAAGATGCAACGTAAAAATGCGAAAGGTCTTTGATTCCTTTAATCGTCCGGATGTACATCGTCCCCTGAAACCGCAGCGGTAAAAGAACCTACGCGGCTCGAGTCGTACGTCGCATGGTTCCAAAATCGAAAACCGGCAAGCATGTCGGACTCCCGAGTTTTCAAAGCCGTGAACAGCGAGCCGCGTGCGTGGCCGTAAATCCCCGTATTACCGCGAGAACGTTCGGTACCGTTGAAGCGTTCAGAGACACTTCTCTCGTGCGCGGGCGGTGCAAACAGCGGCGCACGATCGCGCACGATAAAATCAAGGCGAAAGCGGAGTGATCGAGATGTTCGTTAGACGGATAAACACATCACTGGTTCTGCGAGGCGTGTTCATAAAGCCGAAGGTGATACCCGATGCCCTTTCGAGCATCGGATTTTCATTAGCAAATGACTTAGTCACCTGGAATCATGCAAGTCACGGACGCGCTAGAAACAAAGTATTTTCGATCAGTAATATAAGTCGTCCTCGTCGTCTCTCTCGTACCAGGAACGCCCCTTGGCGTACACTCGTGCCGGCTTGCGAGAAAACTACAACACACATGCGTGAAAACAGCCACCATCGCTCCGCAGCATGCATCGTCGCGGAGCTTTATTAGTCGTCGCTAGACTGCGAATATTTATGGCTCTCTCCGTGGTACATATAGCACTGTTTATTGTTCCCCGAGAAATCGATGTTGCTTCGGATCTTTGGAATTAGCCGTTTCGGAATGGACAATTAGGTTTCATAATTGCGTCGATCGAAATCGAACGTTAATAAACTCCAATACGCGTCAGAGTGACGCGTGTCGCGAAGTTACCGTTGAATCTGACGCTTGTACGGTTAGTTGACTGAAAACTCGATGAAGTTTAACCCCCTGTTACACGTGGACCTACGCGCGACATCGGCTATTCGCGTCTTGGTTCTTTCCTTGTTTTCTGTCTAATTAAAACTGCTCAGCCACTGGTCGCCTTTCGTCTCCGTGTTTACGCTCTCGTGTCCCGCGGCACGTGTAACGAAGGGTTGCTATCGATCTCTTTAAACGGCTCTCTACGGAAACAGAAATTCGCATAAACTTCCGCAGCGTAGTTACCACTGAGAAACCCTGTGAAACCCTCTTGCACCGTGTATCGAGAACCAACCGGCTAAAGAGAATTAACGGGGAGGGTGGTCGAGTAAATTAAAACAGGTTTGCCAGAGTGGATAATCGAGACAAGCGTCGTAGAGCAAGGGAGCTCGACGTAACGAGATACGGTGTACCCAAGAAAATCGGTTGTTAGTAAAAAGAATTAACCTCTTAACTGTCGGGCCCGCGACGCTCGCGGTTCAGTCAAATATGCGGACATGTAAACGATCTATAAACTGAAACTCTTTATCGGTAACACAGGTGGTAACGTTCGGGAACGGGAACTACTTTTCTATTCTAGTCCGCGTTGCGCGGCGAAGCAATTAACCGGTTTAGAAGCGATTTCCTCAATTGAATTCGACAGTTAAGGGGTCAAAGACTTCGAAGGGTTACGATAATCCTCGCTGGAACTCTACAGCTATTACACCAATCTACGCATCAGTCCTGCGGATACCGTGGGCGGAACAGAGCCGAACGATCTACTTGTACAGGCAGACCAAAAGGAACGACGATAATGAGAATCGAATGGAAAATAAACGGGAGGACCGTATTATACACGGAGAGATCGAGTTTGTCGGGTCTCGGGATGCGTGTCTGTGTTTCGTGTGTCCTTACTTTGCCTTTGCGTTTCATTTCCGCTACGCTCGCGTATACCCTGCCGGTCTTGGCGGGCGAGGAGGGATGCGACTTGGTAGCTTGACCAGTCTGAAAGTGAGAGCTCATCATGGACGAGCTGTACTGACCACTGGTGCTACCTTGCTGCCGCTGAAATAGTTCCTGGAAGAAAGTAAAGGACAAAGCTTGAAGCCTCGGTGGTGTGTGTTCGTGTTCGTGCAGTCGCCATTCAAAGGAGAACAAGAAGCGCGTGGTTCGCGATCGAGCAACCGATCCGTGCTTCGTGCCTCTCTCTCGGTACCTCCAGTTCCGCGGCAGTGATCCTGCTGGAGGTCGGTCTCGATCGGATACTGGCCGTTCTCGGCTGCACAGGCGTGTTCTGCCCGGTGTTCGGCCCGGTGGATGGCTGCTGGGGAAGGTGTATCGACTCCGCGCTACTCGATTTGGCCCCGGTCGACGTTATCTCGTCGCGATCGTCCCTCTCGCCACCTCCTTCTGCGCTCAGAATAATAACAACGCGATTAATCCAACTACGCAGCAGATCATTGAATGTACGACGAAACTTCTGACTGAGAAGCGTTGGCGGCGTGTTGATTCCTCTTGTGGGCGAGAAGTCAGGAAGGCAAGGATCTTCCGGTCACGATGTTTCAGCTTCGGTTTTCGAGGCATAGTCATCATTGGTGCGCAGAGATAGCAAGAATAGAAACGAGAATAGATAGACACGTCCAACTTTTCGTCTACAAGAGGAGCCGCTGAATCTTCTCAGCCGGATAATACATCTATATCAGTGCGCCTTCGACGTCTGATAAAGCCAATTGCAATGATGTCGAAGCGTCGGGCAAACTTCTCTAACGGACGCGATTTACAGAAACCTCGATTTACACGAGACAGGTTAGATCCACATCATACAGATTTCCCTCTGTCTTGTTTAGAGTAAACATTCAATCTTGTTCGCCGGAAACGCGTGTCCAGTTTGAATTGTAGGGGGATTGAACGGGGATCGTACCTAATCCTGCGACCATCGATCTGGCTCGCGCTCGACCAACGCTCAGCGTCGTCTTCGGATCTCTTCGGGGTGGCATAGGCGCCGGCGATCTGCCGAGCGTGCCGCCGATCACCACGTTGTTGTTACCTTTACGCGGCAGGGTGGCGTACTGTCTCTGAATGGGTTGACTAGTTGGCAAAATGGCTGCCGATTGCGAATTCGGTAGGCTGATCACCGGCGAGACCACGGTCATCCTGACCAGCTCGCCGGACTTTCTGATCAGATCGACCACGTGCTCGTGGGAGGCCGTCGTCACGTCCTCGCCGTTGATCTGCGAATTAAGAGAAACCCCGTCGTTACAATTCCACTCGAACATCGTAGATGGTAACGAGCTTATTAGAAACTGTAGTTTCAGCAGATGCTGGAATTTCATTGATCGTGTCTCGAAAGGGATTAACCCTTTGCACTCGAGAGGTGACTTTCGCCATCTGATTTGACGCAGTAAAATTAGAAAATTTAATATTTAATATTGAACTGAATGTATAATGCATCGGGAAATATTGGGATGAAAAAGCTTTGTTTCTCAATTTACCTGTTTCTCTTTGAATTCATTTAAAAAGAACCATCGTCTTCGTCTAGTTAGAAAATGTTATTGCTAACATTTTTGAAATACTTTGGAGTGCAAAGGGTTAAAACCTGGTCCGAAGTTTCGATTGCTCGGAGGGTTCAGGGACAGGATGAACATACTTGAATGAGGAAGTCTCCTTTCCGAAGACCAGCCAGATCGGCCACTCCTCCTTGATCGACGTCGTCCAGGTACTGTAAGGCGGGGTACCTGGCCGACGGCGTCAGCTCCATCAAAGGCGAGGTCGCTTTGGCGCCTCGCAACACGAACCCGAAACCTTTTCTTGAGCGGTGCAATACCACGGTGCGGGGCTCCGAAGTCACTCTGTAACATCGTCGGATTGAATAACGGTGTTATCCCGGCGTGTATGAATGGTGGATCGTTTCCGTTACCACTTAAGGCTACGGTGCTCGAGGAAATTAATAGTCGCCCCCATCCCACCACCCTCTGTCTACATTGAAATTTCTACAGACGCAACTGTCACGGGGAAATCGCAGAGCGTTTCGCTCGCGATCACGATATCCCGCCGGGGCACGGAGATAATAACGATAAGTATAATTCGCCTTTACCGCGTGCACGATAATTAAAGTGGTAGCGGAAGAAATAAGGGGACTAGTTCCATTTCATTTAAAGTAAAGATTTAACTACTCGGGGACTGGTGTCGGTGTGTCGATGATATCCAGATTTCCTATCTACAGTAGAAAATTGCGGTGAACGATAGGACGATAGAAATCGAGTACGGAATTGATCTTTCTCTAGTATCTAACAAACGGTTCGAGTGCCACGGGTCTTTCCAAAAGTCCGGTCGAAAAATGCCAATGCTTTTCTGTTTCCCCTTAAAGATTCTATTTTGAATATTAGTATCTCTCCATTTCTAAGCAGGCAATAAAAAAAAATCGAAATAAATAATTGGAAGACTACTAGAGAAGCGCGATCGCGCTGCTTGCCACTCGAACGATTAAAACTTTGATCTATAATTTAGCTTCGGTGTATAGTCGGAGCTGAAGCTGCAATTTAGCGGAAAGGCTTAATGCTATTAATTAATATCGAAAATCGATAAAAGAGCCGGTAAATTGAATAAGAAGGACGTTTCGGGGAATGGAGGGTGAAACTGGATAGGACGTTAATGCGATAGTAGAGAGGAGCTACTCACGGTTTCTTCAACCTAGGGGCGGTCGCGAAATACTTATGCTGCGATTCCCTGCGTCCCAGCACTCTGTTCCGCCCGTCCCTGGCCGGCTGCGGGCCCAACGGGATGTTCGTGTGCCGGAGCCTGACTTCCTGCACGCAGTGCGCGGGAAACAGGCCCGTGCCCTGTCCCCGAAGAACACCCTCGAGCAGGCCGCAATCGGTGGCGCCCGTGACTGTTTAAAATAAAGAAACAAAAACGAACACACACGGTTGCCATCAGAGAAAAATTTAACATTTTCCGTTGCCTATAAAAGAGAAACGAACACTGGAATGACACGGGGAACTGCGAGCATGAAACACTGACCCTGGTTAAAAGGTATCTGATCGAATCGAGCGTCATCGTCGAGATCGTGCGATGAGCGTGACAAATGTTTCTGTGCAAAGTGAAGAGAACAGAATGAAACGGTTCGTGTAGTTGCATAAGTATGCGGCGAAAACGTGAAGAACGAGTGATTGTCTTTTATTTACAATACACAGGATAAGAAAGTGAAACACTGTTTCGGGGAGAGACGATCATTTGTACGATTATCATCATAATTTCGCGTCTTTACAGCACATTGGATTGCCTGCGGTACAGTTTAACCCGCAGTCCAGATGTCTTTATTCAGGCTGATCGAGCAGAGGTTTACAAAGTTTCCATAATCTGTACATTCCAGTGAACATCGCAATTAACTTCACATGGTTTCTGTGGCCAATCATTCTTTCGTGTCGCGGTGACTCGCGGAAGACGGAAGGAAACTATCTCCTTCCTGGCAATGCACGCGTACAATTTCTGTCAGCGATCGCGCGAGCAATACCGATCGAAACACTTTCAGTCAGGGACAGTGCTACCGCGAGCGAACGGCAGGATCGATCGATCGTCCGGAGCCAGTACCTTCGAGGATGTCCCCTTGATTGATGCTCAGGTGTCCCAGGATCCCGCTGTTGTAGCTCTCGACGCAAACGACGGTGGTCCCGGGGATCGAGAGGGAATTGGTCGTGTCCGACTGCGAGGTTCCTACGCCGGAACTGTCGCTGATCACGTCGGAGGCTGTGTCGCCGAGACTCTTGTCTAGAAATTCACGGAACGCAGGCCTGAGATTGATTTCGCCGCTCGGATCCGCGCCGCGCGGTCGTGTCTTAGATCGATGGAACCTCGTGCAACGCTAGATTCTCGACGGAAACGAAGCTATCTCAATACGCTGGACAACCAAAACGGAACAACGAAAGACTACACGGGACTCGTCCTCGACCTATCGATACTCCGTAGGTTTGCTGACGTTGCCATCCGGTAAAGACAGGCTACCGGCGATAGTTCGCGGGAAGTTCGGCTGGTCCAGGTTCGCGGTACCATTTATTTATTTATTTATCTTTTTTTTTCTGATGGTGATGGTTCGACGCACGGTTCACGCCAAATACGCAAATACTTTCTCCTTCGTTCTCTCCCCCTCTCTCTCTCGCGTTCTCTTTCACTCCTACTCTCGCTCTACCTGTCGACACATCCGAGTAGTCCTTCGATTCGTAATCCGAAAACGCGCGAGTAGATCCCGAGGATCTTCAGTGGAGCGTTGCCGCAGAGGAGGTTCGCTCTCGTCGGCGTTTCTCTTCTCACGTTCTCCCTCTCCCCCGGGAAGAGAGGAAAATTTGTGGAAAATAAACCTGTTTCTATACCTGTGACGATGCTGGCGGAATCTTCGCCGGACGGTTGATTGCTGCCTTCGGACAGGCTCGAGCTAGCCGAGCTGAAAGGAGCTAGACTTCTGCTGCTCGGCGACGGCGACGGCGGCATCTCCATCGTTCTGTGCATGTCGAGACGCTGTTGCAGCTCAAGCCGGTGCTCTTGCAGCCTCGTCAGTCCCTCCATTCTTATGTTCTGATAGTTCTCCGCGGCGGCTGGTAATCTTGAAATGGGAGCGGAACGCGTATAGTCCGTCGAACGGGTTCTGTTCGACCTGGTTGCTCGGCAAATCTCACGAGATCAGCGTAAATTGTCTTTGCTTCAACGCGGCCGGTTAATCCCGGAGACACGCGAGACGGATTCCCGAGTGACTTTCTCACGTTTACGAGGTTCCCGGGCGCGAGTCCCCTCGAGTTTCATTCGCGTCTCGCTCGAATCGCGCTGAAATTTCGAGGACGCACCGATAGTTCCGCCATTAAACACAGTTTCAATTCTCTCAAAAACCCTATGAACAACATACCTAATCAAAGAAGATCAAGCCCACTATCGTTTGCGTCTTCGAGTCTCCAGCAACCGCATCCGCGACACGGAACGCCTGACCGACTGTCGCGCGGGAACCTCGACGCGACGCGAATCTCGGGCAAACTACGCGCGTCGATCGAAGGAAAACCAGCAAAGACGCGGCAGGATTGAACGCGAACGGGCGAAACGCGGGACGACTATCCGACCGACCGGTGGGAGCAGCCGAATTCAATCATAGGGACCGAAAAGCAAAGACAGTTTATGCTTACCTCGCGTTTGGATCCCTCATGGAATTCGGGCTCTGGTAGTCCGACGGGATCCGGTGTCCGTTCTGCTCGGGTCTGGCGGTCTGCTCGGACGGTATTCTCTGTAGCTCGTTTCGGGTCGCTTCGATGGACGGTACTCGGCCTAGGCTGCCGTGGTGATGCGAGTCCTTAGCCGTCCTCGCGATACCGCTCGCGATCCCAGCGTACTGCTCGCCGGGCAGTGTCCTGCTCGGGTACTGCTCGGTGGACGGCACTCTGGTCAGCGTACCGGTCGGGTATTGCTCGGTGGACGGTACTCTGGTGAGCGTTCCGGTCGCCGCGGAGTATTGCTCCCCGGACGAGGAGGAGGACGAGGTCGAGGATGCGGACGAGGACGAAGACGAGGACGAGGAGACCCTGGCGAGCGTTCCTGTCGCGGTCGCGATCGGGCTCGCGTATTGCTCGCCGGACGGTACTCTGTTCAGGGTGCCGGTGGATGGATACTGATGTTCCGTGGACGGTACTCTGGTCAGGGTGCCGGCCGCGTATTGCTCCGCGGACGGCACTCTCGTGACCGCGTTGACGCCGCTCGTGTACTGCTCCACCGAGATCGTTCTGGTCAGGCTGCCGCCGCCAGACCCGCCGGCTAAGCTGGGCACGTGCTGTTGCTCCGCGGACGGTATCCTGGTCAGGGTGCCCAAGTTACTGGCCGAGCAGCTCGTGGTCATCGTCGAGGTGCCGGCGAACGCCACCGAGCGCCGTTTCGGGTTGTAGCGTGGCGGCCCTTTAAACGGTACTGGAAAATCGAGGGTTGCAAGGTTAAGTAAAGAAAGGATTACTTAGCCTTACAAGTAGCAGCGCTCCGAAGGCATTCTCTGTGCTTGACGCGTCCTCCTCGGAGCGATCGGGTCTCGTTCGATCGTCTCGGAAATCTTTGCGTGTCATACCGTGCTGCCTGTGTTATGTAGGGACAGTCGGGGAGAGATGGACCGGTTTCTCCGAACAGTTCTTCCGTCGTACGTATCACCTCGATAGAGATGCACAATGGCGTTCGAAACTTCCTGGTTAGATCGTTTTCAGAAGTTTTAGTAATAGAGGCTTTAAGAAGTTCTTGTCATATGGGGATACTGTAAACAACTCAGCACCATCTATTCTTTGTTTAGATACTCTAGGAATGAATAGTTCAATAGTTCAGCACGGAATTCCAAAAACGATCTGGCCGGGAACTGTCGAACGCCACTGTATGATACGTTTCAAAAGAATCGAATAGGCTTCTGTGAAAGATTCCGTACACCACTAGAAACCGAGAATACATCGGGCCATCTCACACGGAATTACCCTATATAGCAGTGCGTGTCGGTCCGTCCGACGACCGGTCCCAATCGCGATAGATCTTCGCATGGTTTTCAGATTAGAGTTTCGTACGAGCCGTCGACGCGACGAATACAGTGACTTTCCTCGCCGAGAGGCTCCGTCGACGATCGTTCTTCTACTCTGAAATCCGGTGGAACTTTGGTTCGTCGCAAGAAAACCGTATTCGGTAGATCGGAAATCACTGTATCCGCGACAACGACGGCGGATCGAGTTGTTCTCCGGCGAGATTCGAAGTCCGATCAACGTTCGATGTCCTGGCGCGGCGTTTCACGGACCGAAGATCGCCGCGTATTGTCAAAAGCAGGCTCGTACACGCGCACGCAAAACCACACACACGCACACCCGCGCGGAACGTTACGCCGGCCGGTGATCGTTCAGCTCGCGGATCGAGGAACAACGACGATCGGATCGGTAAACAACGGTTTCGTTAGTCACTGTACAAACAAGCTGTGAGAAGCACGCGCGTTTTGTGTCACGCATTCACGACGGTTTGCTTGTATCCGTTTTGTACGATACAATGTGGTGTCCGACCTCACTGTCGCCGGTCTCCGTACTCCCGTTTCAGACATAGCATGTGCACCGGCGATACCGCCGAACCTGCCGTCCGCACCGCGGCTCGGACTTCCCGACACCTGGTCGAAATTCCTAACTTCGCGCAGCGAATTCAACCGGCACCGACGATCGAGAGGAGATCCGTTTAGTCCGCGAAACTCGCGTGAAACGAGGTAGGTGTTCTGTAAGCGTTAGTGCAGCGGTTGCAATTCAATCGAGTGCATTTACTCCGCGAAACTCTGCGACGAGGCGAGCCGTATCATTCGTATCGTCTGCCGTTGTCTCCGATAAAAGAAGCTTGCAGGGCTCACTACTTAACGGATGTTCAATTAACATTCATCTCGAACAGAATGCGATCCTCCGTAACGCTCGATACGGTTTCGCGATACTTTCGATTCACCGAGATTCCATTCCCTTTGTTTTAGCGTTTCTAAAGTTACGTCGCGTTTCGTGGCCGCTCATTTCGATATTAATATTATCAGCGCGTCACCGCGTCGATACGCGGCATACCAATAAACGAGCGATCCGAGTTTCGACCAAGTTTTCAGGAAGAAATTCCACGGTGCAACGGGTCGCTGGAACGTGATCGCTATTCCGTTTGCTCGGAATGATGATTTCCAGCGGCCCGGCGACGACACACGTTAATATACTCACAAACTATAATGCTCGTCGCGCAAGCGACGCCGCGTCGTCCGAGGATTGAACGGGGAAGCGAGCGTCAGGTGTGTCCGGCAGAGGAATCGGAGAGAAATCTTGCGTCGCCACCGAGCGAACGTAACCCGAAGAGATCGCGATCGCTTGCGCGACGAGCGAGTGATACCGAAACTACCAAACATTACTAATCAACTTGTTTTCCAGCGATATCGGCGCTGCTCGATCTCGAGAGTGTAGCCCCGGTCGCGCCGTCTCGTTCCGACCGATCGAGGAAAGGAAGCCGAGCTGGAACGATTTCGAAACGCGTTCGAAAACAGGCAGCGCCGAGGTCGCTTCCACGACGAATCCAAATAGATACGTTATCGTTAGAGTTCAATGCGAGAAAAAGAGAAGCAGTCGATCAGACTCGGAGTCGTTGGGCTCCGCGTGAATCGTTACAACAGATGCTCGACGTTTTACAAGACCATCACCACCAAAAGAGGAACCCGACCGGACTGTTTACAATTCCTTTACTTATGTCATACAGCAAACGGACACAGAGATTACGCACACGCACAAAATTACGGTTACGAACGTACGTATAGATATATATATATAGATATATATTCATGTATGTATATATGTACACAAAACCAGCACACCAGGGTCCAAAATTACAACTACACTACGGTTAAAGCGTAATTAACGCTAGGCTTACGGAACGTGGCAATTTCACGCGTATTTAATTTAACGAACGGCATCGTCGTAAAGTGTTACGTCGATTCTCATCGACGCGATTACCCGTGTATCCCAATTGCCCATTTTTCAAAGTCTGATTCCCACGATCCGAACGAATACCCAATTCTCTAGGATGTCCGTGAACCTGACGTTAAAGAACAAGCGTGTTTCGAGTCGGAAGAGTACGAAACCAAGCTCTACGTGCATGCTTCATGCTGGGGACTAGTCGTGCTGTGAATGATCACCGAACGATCGATCGAAGTCCGCGGTTTAATCGGATAAAACCGACTTTCGGCCGGGGGATCGAACGGCTCGGCTCGCGCGCGCCTAATCTCGAGCGTGAAACGGCGTCCGCTAATTCTCCGAATTAACAGCGACCTAATTTCGCGAGGCTCGGCGTTATCTGATTTATCCTTCAAAGTGATTCCGGGGAAACTGGGAATCGGCTGTGGCCGTAAGCCGACTGGCTCGCATCGCGACCGAGAAACTTTCTTCTAATCAGCCTCGTAAACGGAACTCGATCGCACGTCGCGTCAAGGTACAACAAGGTCTCGATTAATCCATTCGATAATTCGCTTGGTTATTAACGCTACAACTACCGAGCAATTAGACCGACTCACTTGAAACTTCTTATAAAAATCAGAATATCGATATCGGAAGTGTCTTTTCCTCTCGTATCCGTGCGAGTACACATTTCACGATCTCCCGCGCGAATTCCTTCGTAATTGAAACATTTGCCACATAGAAATTCCGAAACGGCTTGATTCGATCCATCCGGTAGTTCCAGCGGTAAGTCGAAGCACGCGGATCATGAAAATGAGGGAAACGAAGTCTGCGATGACGTGCGAGTGTAAGTTAGCCGATGGCAATTGCTTCGAGCGAGTTTCGCTGTCGAACAACCGAGACCCAAATACGCGAGACGTCGGACAATCGAGGTCCTATTGTATCACTAGCTCCTCCGTATCCTTCCTCTCTTTCTCTCACTCTCTCTCTCTCTCAGTCTCTCTCTAGCAAGCTCTCAACCCCTCATTTTCTCCGTCTTTCTCTCCGCGGCATTCGCAACCCGGCCCGTCAGAGTCCCGGCACTCACCGACTTCCTCCGGCTGATAGTTCTTGATGACCTCGGCCAGCTCCATGTTTCCGGCGATCACGGCCACTTGGTACGGCGTTTGGTTCGCGTAGTTCAGGCTGTCCTTTTGGGCGCCCCTGAACAGCAACTGCCGTATGCAGGAGGCGTCCGTGTTGTTCACCGCACATACGTGCAACGGCGTGTTCCCGGACGCGTTACGCGCGTTCATGTCGGCACCGTAGAACAGCAAGTGATCCAGGTGCTGGACCAGGTTGTTGCGGCAGGCCTGCGAACGCCAACACGGCTGTTAGGTTATCGATTATCGAAGGGCGGCCCGATTATAATTAAACCGAGCTTTCCCACCTTCCAACCTTGCCGGCGTCGCGCGTTTCCCGTAAACAAACGCCGGGAATCGCGCGGCCCGCCGACAATTTCTAGAGATCAGGGTCCTCCGATCCGTCGATCGGGCAGGTGGCTCTCTCGGTTCACGGCGCCGTCTATTAATAGACCGCGAACGCGTTCGACATTCGTCTCGATAGAAAATTCATCTCGCTTCCCGCGATAACGTACGCGATAATCCGGATTTCCCCGGAGCGAAGACTATTCGAGAGTTTCCTATTGATTTTCGCGAGAGTTAAATAAAACAGACAGCGCTATAAATACTTATAGGCTACTCCGCACAGCCGGCGTACAGAACTTTATTAGAAATTGAATAGAACCGAGCGAAGACGCGCCGCGAACTTCGGCGCTCTATTAATTACCGACTGCTCCGAAGTGTCCGCTTCGTATCCTCGTTCGGGGCAACTGGCAATGAAACTCGAGACGACGAGTAAATTACTTCTATAAAAATCCCCGACGGCGGGATACGCACAGGGCGTGACAATGAAGTCCCGAGATTGCTTCATTTATTTTCGAACCGATAACGCCGTCGGGGGTAATTATCGCGCAGTTCCCTCTGTCAGCCGCGGAGGGCTCGGTCCTTCGATTGGCCCGTCGATAACAGCCGATCCGAGGATTTTTTCGAAGCTAATTAATCCCTCCGTTTCATATTTCCAGCGTATTAAAACGTTTCCACCGAGACTTCGCGGTCGTTCCGAACAATAACGACGCGCGGATCGCGGTCAGCTGAAAGCTGAGCGCATTTTCGCGTAGATTTCCGACGTTATCAGCGTCGCGCACCGTCGCGGGACGTATTCTACGACGAACGGGTTTTTTCTAGAGCCGGTCACGGGACTTTATCGCCGATCGCCCCGTAAAAAACGCGCTCCAGCTGCGCTACACTGTATCCAGCGTCCGGTCGGGCGTAACTCGGTTGGCCGGCGAAACGTTAAAATGTTATCTGGCCGACTGCACGCGAATTAATTGATCTCGCCGGCTTTAATAACACAGTTAACTGGTTTCGCGGGTATCTCGGGGCCGGCGCGAGACGCGGGCAACTCCGGACACTCGGATCGGCGTATTTCTCAACCGACATCGATCCCCTACGGTTCTTCTCTGCCAATTAATTAACATCGTCCCGATACGCGATCGTTAACCCTCTCGCCACCGTAGAATCAGCTTCCCGATCATTTTTGTTGAACCAATTATTCTACGTTCGCCTCTAACGGTCTCGAAGACCTGCTCTAACTTCTGCCTACGAATTCAGAAAGATTTTTTCATCCATTTCACGCCGATATCTGCACTAATTCTGTTTATTAATCATTCCGTATACAGCGATACACTTCGAAAGAATCTAGTAAACCTAATGCAACAAGACTATCGATGCGTATGAGACGTCATTCGCAATTTTACTACAAAAACGTCTCGACGCGCGTGACACATCTTTGGACCGCAAGAGGTTAACGACATTTTGTCAACCCTGGAACCACAGTAGTGGCAGCGAGAGGGTTAACCCTGATTCGCAACGGCGACAACGGCCACCGAAGGCGACGCGTGTTCGCTCGGAAAGATCGAAAACTGCTGGAGAAACCTGATGCACTTCCTGCCAGCCCTGCAAGTCCTGGGCGCCGATCGTCGCGTGATCGTGCAGCAACGTCTCGCACAGCATCGGGTCGGTTTTGTAGATGACGCTGTAGTACAGCGGCGTCAGTCCCTTGGTGTCTTTGTAATTCGGGCTGGCGCCGAGCTCCAGTAGCGTCTTCACGGCCTCCAGGCTGTTCCTCTCCACCGCCCGGTGCATCGCCGTCAGGCCCTCCTTCGTCCGATAGTCGAGCAACGCTCCGCCGTTCACCAACGCTATGATCACCTTCGACGGTTTCTTCAGGGTCGTGGCCAAGGTCAACGGAGTCTCTGAAAGGGAAGCGGCATCGATGAACACGTGAACAGAGTCGCGGATTGCTAGGTTCGTCAGCGCGCTCGGGCAAACCCGTTTTGCGTATTGCAAGCGAGAATTAGAGAAACTACGAAGCGCTGCGAATGAAAGACTGGCAATTTCATTTCAACGTAGCTTTCTTAACTCCTCGGCTGCTGCTGGTGCCTAAAGTTTTAAACATTTGGTTCCGTAAAATGTTACTGACTATAATTGCAGCGAAGCTTATTCTGATTCAAGCATTACATCTTCAGTTAATCGTATAATTATATAAATCTGATTAGTTTAGATTGGTTTCGTTTAGTTCAATTCAGTGTGTTCACGCTTCAAATTTGAAATCTGATTACGAGAGTCGTCTGGAAAGCGTCAGACGCTTTTGGAACGGAAGCTAAGGGTACGCGGGTAGCTCGCTTGCGAACGGAACCTCAGCCCGAGCGTGGAACGCGCCTCGTTTCGCGAAAACGCTTCGGCAGGATCGCGGGATCCAACGTGATCGTGAGATCGCAGCGAGGAAACCTGATAACTGTTGACGCCAGCTTCAAGGTCGGCGTCTATTGCCCGCGGGCGACAGAACACGGGTACGTGTCCCGCGAGTCTACAATTAACCGAGCGAGGAATATAGCCGGTTGCCGAATACAGTTATCCGGGAGAGCGAGTTTCCGATCTTTTCCTCCTGCACGGCTGCTCTGCTCGACCTGTTTCACCGGCGAAACGCGATTTTCCTTGCAGCGAACGCTTCCATTCGATCGAGATACGCTTCTCGACAATGCTGGTAATCGCTCGCGCAGATATTATCGGCGTCGTGACGAGAAATGAAACATTCCGCGGCGCAGGTACCTATAACAGGCTCAATAACCTTCGACCCTTCGACGCTCAACCTACAATAAACCGGAGTTGCTAGTCGTTTGCACGTCATGCGCGGAGGAAACTTTCTCGTCTGAATTTCGCGGACGATTTCCAGTACTCGAAAGTGATGTCTTGGAATTTTTACTAGCATCGTTTAGCAGGCAAGGGGTGAAAGACTGCATCGACGCGCTGTCGCGGCAGCGCAGGACAATCGGGGAGAATGAGAGCGATCGGTTTTACCTCCAGTCTCCTGACAGTGGAAGTTAGGATCCAGACCCTTGCTGCACATCTTCGCGATCTTCTCGACCTGGCTGTTCGCCACGTACTCCAGCAACCTCCGCAGGTTCGTCCGGGTGTGCATCGCCTTCAGCTGTTTCTCGTCGAGGTGCAGCATCTTGTAGACCCGTCTCTTGTACTTGAGCTGCGGATTTCAGAGAAAAAACGTGCGGTTTACTGATCTTTCCATCGATTTCGTACACATCGTAGTATCTAGTTACGCTTAAGTAACTGGAAGAACTCCCCGTCGATTGTTCATTATCGTCGATCGACGGAACCTCCCGTTAGGCGATCGGCTTACGATAAGGAATTAGTTTTGCCAGTCACATTTTCTACCTCGCTGCATTCCAATCACTAACAAGAATGCTTAAACTCCAGGATGAAACAAGAATTATTCAAGATTCGAATCATCTGATCTGTTTATACGACGCGCTCGCGTCCGCGGTGAGCAACCACCCATGGCTAGACTCGACCGCGACCCAAAACTACTTTCCATTCCCTTTCTTTTTGAAATTCCTGTTCGTTTTTGGTCGATCGCCGGTACGCGATACGCCCGCCCCGTTCCCCGTCCCGTAACGAGAGCCCGCCGAGCGCACCGTGTACAAAGTATAAAATTATCCCGGCTTAATGGGGATTCACCCCGCCGCTTCCTGGTGGTTACAGCTTCTTTGTAATTATCGGAGGCGTCGTGCTTCATAGCATTAGATTACTGACGGATAGGCAATATCGCGGCTACAGCCTCGCTAATGACTACCGTTAGCAGCAATTATGATTATCAAGGGAGGACGAGTTGTAATGCAAATTAGAGATACGGCGCTGCCACGCGGGCAACGCCGCGCGCCATCCCCTTCTTTGCCGCGCCGAGCCGCGCCGAGCCGCGCCGCCCGGAAAAACGAGCGGCGCGGCGCACCGTTCGATCGGGTATTTTCAGTTTCAACGGACGGTCGGTCTAAACTCGCCCGATCCGCCATTTACGGCCCGTTAACGCTACTGGTTTCAGTTTCTTGCTGATTAGTCCCCGGCAAAATGTAATCTGATTACCGGCCCGGCGATGTTTTACGCGAGTCCATATTTTTTCTCCCCCCCGGTACGGATTTTTCTAGGGAAACTTCAGGGAAACAGATTACAGCGAAGTTTCTCATCTGCCTCGCGAGTAGGGGAACGAGACAGCGTCGGGTCCCAATTAACTCTGTGTTTTACAAGTCTCTCTGTCGGGATTTTTACGCGCCATAAACGCGCGAATAAATTCGCGGCCTATCGATTGTAGATTAATAACGATTAGACGGGCGATTTTTACGCGAGCCGATTATTTTATGGGCACGCATCGAACGCGAAGAGAGTCGCCTATAAATCTGTTTAAGGCAATAATTAGTTAGGCGTTTCATACGGACGGGACTAATGCGAATAATTATTTCATGGTTGCTAATGGCGATTAAAATGTAACTGCTGCGCTACGATGGCACTACCGGTGCATGCTAATTGCGGCTCGCTATAATATCACCTCGAGTATAATTGACGTCCGATAACGATTAACGATTGCGTAGTGTAACCCTAAGTAACCAATTAACGCGAAATGTAAATGTAACATTCATCGCCGCGCGAATGCTAATCTTTCCACCTCAATTTGTCCTGCCGAAAGAACGTCGCGAAGTTCCCAGGGTGCAAAGAACTGGCCAAGAAGAGGAGACGCTCGCTTCTCGCCGGCTGCCACGGATTTGCATAAGCGACAAGGTCCTTCGGCGAGTATTCTAATTCTTCGGAACGGGAGCAGATCCTAGAACAGTAGCCAACAGCTACGAAGTTCTTCTGCGAGAGGTTAGCAGAGCCGAGGCTACTCGATGAAGCGGTTCGAGAATAAATTATCCTAAACGATGCAGGCGGCGCGCATCGACGGGCTACGAGCACCGAGTGCAAATTAATAGTCGCGGCTAGATTTTTCGGCCAGTCGCCGGTTGCTAGCAGGTAGTCGAAGAAGAAGAAGAAGAAGAAGAAGAAGAAGAAGGAGAAGGAGAAGGAGAAGCAGCGATAGCAGCGGAACAAGTAGAAGAAGACGAAGAAGAAGAAGAAGGAGAAGAACCTGACTTCTTCGCTCCCGTGAGTCAGCTCTCGTCCCTGAAAGTGAATCTCGCGTGACGAGATCGACCGTGCTCTCGCGAGCGATTGATGAGCGGACGAAGGATAAGGAAAAAACGATCGCTGACGGGGAATAAAAAAGGCAACACGGTTGCAGATACCGAGGGTACCGAATACCGGTGATCTATGGGCCCTGTCTAACCCCGTGTAATCATTCCTATCCGGCGAGCGTTGCTGCGCGCCGCGTGCGCCGCTGCGTCGATGAAAAAGTGAAACACGTCGTCCGAGATCCCCGGACGTTCGCACTTTATCTACATCCGTCCGCTCGACGTTGAAATATTTCGCGAAATCGACAACTGAAAATCCATGGCTGACCAAGGTCGCGGCTCGGCGAATTTAACCGATCATCGCGCGGCGCGCTCGTCCGTCGACGAGATCCCGACATTCTGCTACTCGCGTAACGAACAGTTAAGGTTTCCAATGTGTCATAAGGTAGTCTCTGCTATACGAAATGATTTTCGTTTGAAAAATTACGATTTTGCGCGAGTAAGTTCCATTTCTCCGTTTATGTAGCTTTGCAGTCGGCACGCGAGCTGTCCATTATCATCGGAGAAACTTCGTAGTATCTCCGCAATGTAAACAAAAATACAATCAGCGTACGTTTAGCTCTATACTTTACAACTTTCGTCCGAAGCGTTGGTTTCTATCACTCATACTTTCTCAGTTCTGTCCAGAAAACCGAATTGGTACTCTGAAACGAGGCAACGAGGTTATCGGGTTAACTCCTGCGGTGACCTCCAGAAGAAGCGCATATCTAAATTAAGTCGCGGGAATGAAGCGACGAGTATATTCGTCGATCACAGCTAACCGGTTAACCGATCGTTTCCAGATGCGCTTTGAACGCGAGACTATCCGCGGTTCGCGGAGGTGCATAGAGAATGCAACGCGTTAGAGGGAATTTAAAGCGACGAGGCTGCGGCAGTCGTTCTAGTTCGTTGACGGTGACTCTTCTTCGCATTAAACACGAATCGCTGTCGATATTATCGGGCCGCATACGATTACAGGGTCATAAATGTTCATAAACGACGCCGAAGACGCTGCGAGCAATCGAAGTTCATTCACGTGAAATGGTAACTTCATCTAATTCGATTAACGTTTCAATATAAAACATTTTCGCGAAACGAGGACGTCACGGACGCATGACGCGGCCGGCTTACTGCAACTTTTCTAAGAAGTTATGTATCAGTTAACCCGGCAGGCGAAGTACTTCTAGTGTTAACTGCCCGTGAAGCCCCTGGAACGGTTGTAATTAAAAGGTATCGCAAACGAGATAAGCTAGTTAGATCGCGCACGCTAAATCCTATTTTCTAGTGTACTTTAGTATATAAAGTGTATTTAACACATAAACGAGCATAACTCTCCCGTTGCGCGGTAACCGCCGGATAATTACCATAAAAACACCGGGGACCAGATTATAAAGTGCCGCGCAGGAGAAAAAAGGGGGGAATTGGAAGTACAGAGGCGAGCAGAGGGATCAAAGAACTTCGATCACTCGATCCGAGTTTGCTCCCCGTACTGTTGGCTTTGACTTTGATCGCCGATACAGCAAAGACACTCGAGCGGCTCGGAATTCTAGCGATTCAGACGGCCGCGAGTGCTCGAGTAGTTTTTCCCAAATACAAACGAAAAGAAGTCGCGACTAACCCATTTATTTGCCAAAGCGACCGACTCGATAAACTGGAAAATAGAGGACTCGAAACCGGAAAAACCAGAGTCGCTTTGACCCCGAGGCCGAACTGACACGTTCAATCATCCATCGAATATCTAAAATGCATAATACAGTAACCTATACTATTATTTCTAACATTCATTCTAACCCTTTGCACTCCAGATGTTTTTCACCGGAAATATTCAATATTTCTCAACGAGATACAGACATTCTCTTAGATTGAATTAAGAAATCTCACATGCATCGAGGAAAAGAACTATCTTTCAATATTTCGTATATTGATGCATTATACAAAGTTCAATATTAAATATCAAAGTCTACAGTTTTGCCGTGTCAAATCATTTGGTGACTTAGAGGCCCTGGAGTGCAAAGGGCTAAACATGTAAGGAAAATTCAAAAAGCGTAGTCGACCGATTTGCCCGATATCCAAAGATCACTCGCACATCGCGAAGCTCGCAAGCTATTCCGAGTTTCGCGGTCTCCAAGTTCGCGTACTGGAAGTTGATGCTCGAAAATCGCTTCGTCGCTGCGAGAATTTTCTTTGGTATCGAAGCGAGCTGGAGCCGATCGCGGAGAAGAAGATGAAGACGAAGACGAGCGGGAAGAGAGTCCGTGCACCGGGATGAGAACTAGATCCGGTTACGCAAGAAAACCGCGGGCAAGATCCAGATCTCGTTAACCGACCACCGGGATTATTTGTTTTTCACGAATCGCCGTTTCAACAGTCACCGTCGTCCATCGACTCTCCCGGATACGTGGCGCGGCCCCGCATCCGGTTGCCACGACGAGTTCAGAGACTTTCGATTGTCGATACGTGGCTCGGAAGGACGCGCTCGGCTCCCGGGTAGTTCGTTTTCGAAATGCATCGCGCGCAAGCCATCCTATTTCATGTTGGAAGCTGCCAGCTAAATGGCTGATAAACTATATTGATAATGGAACCCTCGAATCAGTGGTTTGATTATTCGTTCAATTAACCGAACTAATCGTTCCCGATGTATTCCTGGATGTCGCCGTCGTGACTTGCCAGCTGCCTTCCGACTCTTTATTATCATCCTCCCGGGTGATTAAATCAGTATCGTTAACCAAAGTAAACTTGTTAATCGCGCGAGGTTGTGTCGTTCCTTTAGCAGCTATTAATAGTCGCGATATCAGCTCGATCGCGTCGGAACTTATCAATTTTAACGCAAGTCCTGGGCCGTCGTGTAATCTTGCTCGTCCGTAACAGAAGCTTCCCAAGAATCTACTCGTTACCGTGGGATCCTATTATTTGAATCCGTAATTTCGATGATACTGCGAAACTTTCCTATAAGCTGATTATCGATTAATCCGCCCATCGATGGCACGATTCGATGAGCGAAGTCCGGAGATTCTTTAATCATTAATATCTTGGACATCTATACCGCAATTTCATCGTTGGTAACTCTTTGTAATATAGACGTTTCTTGAAATTATTTTAATGACAATTCACGTCAGTTAAGGGACGAGCCTAATTTCGTTTCAATATTCCACGCATCATAGAAATTGTAATATAAAACATCGAGCTCTGTAATTCCCGTTCGCGAAATCGCTCAGTAAAAACATCGATTGCACACGGTCGAACATCGCGTACATTCTTTTCCCTTCCGCCATATTGTTCGAACCCGTTCGACCTTGTACCGCCGCGAAGATCGATCGTTTTTTTCTGTCCGTGTCATCTCGACCATCCTTCTTTCTTCCGCTGCTCCTTTGTCGAAATTCTAAAGCCCCCGAAGGAACAACAGCACGCGCACCGTCGAAACGCGCCTCGCCGCAGGATGATCGATCGTTTATGATAATTAGTTCGTCGAAAAAGCGGCGCGCCGCTCGCAGGACGCTGCGAACGAATTCACGACGCGTCTCGGCGTCCGTTTTTCCGTCACGGTCGCGTAGGAGACCGCCCTACTCGCCGTCCGACCACGATTTTTTCCGTTTCCCCGCGAATCGTTCTCCTCCTCGACGAAAAAAGGGAAGAAGTAAACGGTCCCGCGGAAAAAATAGTGCTCCTTGACCCGAGGGACGCGGAAAGGGGAAGGCGATTCTCGGAGGCCAGGAACGCTTTATCGGGCACTTTGGGCGTAGTGCCTGGAACTCGCGCAAATTTCGAAGGAAACAATCAGAAACGAGTTGTACGGAAACTGGGGAGAGAAACGAACCTTCGGAGTAAAGATATTCGGTACTTCCATTCGAGCACGAGTCGTATTTTCCGGAAGATAGGACGAAGAAACGGATTTTCTCGAAGGATTCGGTATAACGCGGAGAACTCACGGATATTTTCAACCCTCTATGGGCCAAATTCTTTTTCGTGGCTATAAAAAAATGCTTGTAGTATACAATTAAGAAATATCAACCTGTAAATACAAATGAACAATGCATTCGATAGTTTTAATAATTGTATTAATACGAATATACCTTGTAATTTTGAAATTACAATGACGAACTTTCACGCCTGAGTTTACAAAGGTTTAAGTTAATTAATTACTTGAATACGCAAAATGAAATAAATCGATAGGATGCCAATATATTGGTACATGATTTCAAAGGCATACGAGCCTACAAAGGGTCGATGCGAAGAAAACAGGACCGATCGTAGGTAAAAGGGAAAGACGCATAAAGATATTCTATATTTTCATTCAATAGAGAGTCGCGTTTTCCGGGACGAAAGGGAAGGAGAACGACAGTCGCGTTGAATGCGAGAGGGCCTAGGGCAAACGAAAACCTTAGCACGACCCTGAGCAAACCCCCAGATATTCAAGAGACGCTTGGTCCGCGTAGCTAAGCGAACTTCTTTCTCGATGCTTTCTCTCTTGTTTTCTTTGACGAAGCACGAACGTCAATGGGGCCGGGCAATCTTGTCGCTGAAATAACCTTCCCCGACCGCGTCAATGCGATTCCCATTTCACCGGCGCATTCAGCTACCCCCGCGGCGATTATTCCGGGCGAGAATGGTCGCGAGGTCAGGGATGGAAATTCAAATTAAACCCATTAGCGAGCTCTTTCGCCCACGGAATCTACTGCAAATCGTCGTCGAACTTCGAACGACACAGACTAGATCCGTTTTCACCGGCGCCTCGCGAACTTCGCCCTTAACACTTTACCGACCGATAGCCTATTAATCGGCTTTTTACAACTGACGCTTAGTCTGAGAATCTTGAGTGACTGGGCCGTGAGAAGAGCGTGTACGTGACTGCGTGAATTTTAACTATGGACGAAAGATGCGAGTGAGAAGGGTGCAAGGGTGAGAAAGACAGAGCGAATGGGGGTGTGCGTTTAAACCGAAACAGAGCCGGCGCCAGGGTGAATCTGTGGCTGAGCGGCCGGTCGGTAAAATGTTAATTTCTCGAGAGTGACTGTAATAAGGACAACATCCTGCGAGTTCCAGCTAGTAAGAAAATCATGGCAACGAGGGAAATTATGAGATACGCGTTACTTTTCCGCTCGACAATTACAACGCGCTTTCGGAGTGTATTTTAAGACAGTTAAGGATCCAACTGAACGGAGAATTTACTCGGGAAACACGTCCGCGGGCGAAAAGTTAAAGCTTCCAGTTAACGTCGGCTTCTTTGTGGACGCGCGTTTTCTCCGGTCAATTTGTGTACAAATCGAATTACTCCTCGATTTGTACTCTTTTCCGGAGAAGTTACATATCCAGTTTCGCCGGCAGAGTGCTCCGCGTGGTCGTTGCTCGCTGGCAACCGGAGTCGGAGAACCGTGAAAATGGTTTTCTCGGGATTTATCGTACGGCCGGCCGCGCAACTTTCCTCGAGCAGCACTGTTCCGAACGATAATCGTAATGCGCGCGGGCCTGTTACGGTCGCATTTACGCTCATTAGCCCGTTGCGTCGATTTAACATGTTGCGATAAACGTAAAAGACCGGAACACGTCTTGCGCCGTCGTTCCGCCGCTCGTCGAGCGGTCGAATAAGGATTCGTTCGTGTTACTTTCGTCAAGTTCGCGCTGAATGCTCGTTGGAAAATGCACGCGGAGAGCCTCGATTATCCAATTTAACTGGCCGGTCAACGATCCGGATGAATGGACGCTCGGGGAGCGATTCTATAAACGCAAAATTCGATCGCGCGTATCCCGAGGCGTAATCCGCGGCTCCGAACGATCGAATCCGATAAATAAGATCCGGATCGCGCGAAATCCGAATAATTCAGATGCTACCGCGTTCGCGCCGTTAAACAGTTAATTCCGCGCAATGAGCGTACGCGTCGCGAAGCGGCGGAGTTTCGTATCGCGAGCGGAATTTAGATAGACGTTAATAAAAGAGCGACACATCTAACTCGTTGAAATACGAAATGTCTCGTATTCCCGGCCGCTCGAGCGGTTAGCGTTCGTTCGATCGATCTTCCCGGATAAATATTTCACTCGGGACGAGTGGAACGATGTCGGGGCTCCGGTTAAGCGAATCAGAACGCGAGATAGAAGCAGATACAAGCGTCGCGCGTCACGCGTACCGGGAAAACGGGCGCGCGACAAGCCGGTTCGTCGTAACGACTGGTCGCGCGATGAATCGCGACGCGTGGTACGGTCCCTTGAACAGCCACGAAAGAAAAGCAAAGGCGTCCTCTTACCTCCAAGTAGCCAACGGGTCCATTGAAGGGATAATCGCCGAGGCGGCGTTCCTCGTCCAAGAATTTTCCGGCTTTTCCATTCACGGGCGGGCAGAACAGCCCGTAATTGAAGCTTTCCTTCAGCTCCTGCAAGCGAGCACGATATCCAGATTAATCGGGAACCAGTTCCGTCAGAGGGACGACCCGCCACCCCCGTTTCTACTGAACACATACTACCTCATGCAGGGGACATACTCGGGGGATATACACGCGGACGAAACCGCCGCGCCGTTCTTGCGCGAGCCGATCCGCGGGAACGCGCCGGTTCGGATAGGAGCTCGTCTTTTTTATCAGGCGATTAGAAAACTAGCATTTGCGTCAGATCGAAATAATCGGTCGCGAACGGTTTTCACCCTCCGCGATACAAATGTTCGTTTTCGGATCAGCTACGACGTGTACAATAGAATTCTCCTATGTCAAATCGAGCGACTGAGAGTCACTTCGAGCGCAAACAATTAACGGATGCACTGAAGGTAGATTCCTCTCCTCGATTCCAGAAGGGCGAGGGTTAATCCGTATCGCAGCCCTTACTTCGCGAAAACTACCAAACGTTCCCGCGTTCACAGAATCCAGGGTAACATTCACCGAGCCAAAGCGCATCCGTTTGACGTCTGAACCGTTCGAAGTTTCGCGTGCGGCGAGACACGCGGCGGAATACTACCGACGCACGATCGGGAAGGGTCCCGCGGAAAATATCGCCGTTAACGTTATCCTCGTCGGCATCTCGTCGAATTATTCGGGGAATATTTCGTCGGCGTTCTTCCCGGGCCCATTCCTTCCCTCCGTCCGGAACGAAAGACATTCCATCCCCGGCGTAATGAAAGACGCTCGATCTCTCATCCCCCGATCGTCCTCTCTCGCTCCCTCGCCGGCGCGTTCTCCGTCCCAGGGGAGGGAGCGGAGAGGATGATCCCGCGCCGCCTCCGTTGAAATAATATGCTTCGATTTCGCCGACGACAGGCAGTAAAGTCCGGAATTTACGGACTGCGCGCGGGGAATTTCGCCATCGTTCTTCCTCACGCGCTGCGTGCCAGCAGGTTTCTTTGTATACACGCCACTCTTTATCTTCGCGGCGGACAGGCCTCGTACGTTCTCCGGTCTCGTCGTGGGACGCGTCCCTCCGCGGGACCGGACCGAGAGAGAGACTCTCTCCTTCCCTTTCGCCGCATCATTCGCGAGCGGATCGGCCCTGGAACCGCGTCAGACGGACTCTCCGCCGAGGTTTCCCACGATTTTCACCCCCCGCGAACCAGCGCCGCTCCGATTCCGCGATAACAGCGGCCCGAACGCTACGCTGCGCTTTCTTTCGCTTGGATCTTCCTGGAGAAGGCTGAGATCCTCGGTGTTCCCACATCGAGCTGGGGTTCGATACTGAGGGTATCCTGATTAGCTTGTATCACTGGTTGGCAAGAATCTAGAGCTGCAGGGAGGGTTGGGGCAGCTGGCAGTAGTTTCAGCGATTTAGATGGATAAAATTGAATTTGGCTGGTGAATCCGAGTGCAAGGGAACATTAGGGGTTGATAATAGAGTAGTTATGTTGTATGGAGTGTGTTATTGGAAAGTAACCTTCGGTAATTGTGAACTGCTTGTCCATCTTTCGAAAGTCTGTAGCTGCTGGGAGACTTGGTTCTAGAGAACTGGCAGTAGTTTTTGCGATTTAGATGGATAAAATTGAATTTGGTTGGTGAATCCCGAGTGTAAGAGTATATTAGGGGTTGATAATAGAATAGTTGGTTCGTATGAAACATGTTATTAAGGAATAACCTTTGATAACGGCGAACTCGCTCGTGTATCGCCTTTCATGGTAAAGTCTGTCGGCTAGCGAACGAGCAAGAGTTTCTTTGCTAGTCCAGCGATAGAAGAGTGTTCAGTCGACGACTCTGTTAATTACTGCAGCTCGGTTCATCGCGAATCTCGGCAGCCCACGTGAAAATCCACGAAAGCGGTGACACGCTGCACGCTTGTCAGCGTTTGTCCACGCGAGCGGACTCGCGCGACGCGGACGTGCCCGTTAATCACCGTCGAGCGTAGTCCGGCGCGCGAAAAACCAGTCGCCGTGAAAAACGAAAGTCGACTGACGGCCGAGCGCGTTATTAAGGCAAATGAGTGCCCCGGTTTGGTCACGAACCTCGAAAACGGGTCAATTCAGCGAGCCGGGAGCCGGTCTCGCCTCGGATCTCGCCGGCGCGAGCGTCGCCGATCGGCGAACCCCGTAAATCACGCGACGAAACGAATCCGTTCGCTGAATCCGTGCAATTATTCGGAGCGGAACGCGTCGTCCCCGAGAAATCAGGTTCCATTAGGCCAAGGAATGCCGTTCCCCGTTCACGCCGAAATCGGGGATCAAAGTTCGGGGCGCCGACTTCGGACACCTCGTTAGCGAACTTCGCCTAGTTCTTCTACCGAGATTCTTCTACTGGTTAGAAGGATTGAATAAACGATTCTCGTTTATTCACTTAACACTGGGACTGCCGTACCGGGCGAAATGACCGGCTTCGAAGTGTTTCTTTCGTAATAATTGACATCTTAAACGCATTGACCATTCGAAATGATCGTGGAAATGAATAGTTTCACTTGAATAATAGAATGAACACACTGAAAATAATCGATTCGTTGCAATTTTTATTAGCATTACATATTAATCGCATCAAATGCTCGGTAGGTTTAGTGTTACAAAGGTTCATTATATTCTCACACTCGGTAGAGACGCTTAGGAACAGACTTCCACGCAGCACGGTTCCCCAGCGCTGTTCTCCGCGAGTCTGCTCAACGAACGATATTAGCGATAAATCATCGATAAACGATGAATTTTTACTGCCGGAGTATCGGTATGTTCTATCGATAACTGTCCGGTCATCGTAGACGACAGCTGGCGTCGAATTTCGCCGGCCGATGAATGGCTTCAATTATATTGACAGTGAGAGCTATCGAAAGCGATTGACCAGCTGCGAGGTAAAGCTATCGCTGCGTCACTCCAAGCGACATTTCAATCTTGTTTCTAACGCTTTATGAGTCCGATTGCGTGCTGCGCGCCGATAAAAGGAATCGTCGTCGCACCTTTGAAGTTTAGTGGGTGATCAGGGAAGATTGATCGCCCTACGACGCGTGACAATTTAGAAACACAGCTCCTTCGTTGTTCATTAACCTTCGCTTCGGGAGATCCTCTCAGGTGCAACTTTAATGATTTATTACGAAAACGACGAGTTTCCGAATCATCAGACTTCCACGTTCATTCCACAGACGCGACACGAACGGAATATTTAAACACTTCCGTTTCCTCTCGACTGGAAACTAGCATTGAAGTCGATCAAATCCGATTCAGGAAACTCGCGATTAATCGAAGCACGTTACCTGATCTGTTTCAGGACATATTCCATGTTCCACTGATTGGTAATTCGTGAACCCGAATTTTCTGGGTCCCCGTCCGAAGGTCGCGGATCCTCCCGGCGCTGGAGGATCGGGCGAGAGGAACGCGTTCAACTTGTCGGAAACGTTTCGTTCCGACGGAAAGTCGCCGGCGGGGCGAAAAACGGCCACGAAGAGACGGAACACGTGCCGGCTACGGTACACAGAGCCCGTGCATTACCACCATACGCCGCGTTTACCGCAAAAAGCGAGCGGGGAACGAAGAGAGGACGAGAAAGAGAGAGAAAGGGAGAGAGCGAGTGCCAGTCGACGCGAGACGGAGAGGAGAGATGCACCCAACAATCATGGCAACAATAGCCAAGAGTGGAACACGTGCCAAATTAAAGGCCTCGAACGAAAGTACCGAGGTGCGCGAGTGTCTGGTCCCCCGTTTAAAACGTCTGTGATGCACGGGGGTGTGGCTGAGAATCAGCCTTGGAGGAGAAAGAAGGAGAAAGAAGAAGACACGCCACCGAAAGGGAGAAAGGGCCTAGCCACAGAGGGACAAAGCGATCCGTCTCGCCGAGCGGCGCGACACGGCTGCTCCGCGCGGTTCCCGGGTTTTCCTTTCGAACCCAGTTCCCCGCAGATCCGAACGCTTTGCAGCCGCGAAACACCGGCCGCGACGATTAGAGGGCATGGCGCCGGGGGTGCGCGAACAAAAGGGGCTCGCATCTGCGCGCGCTCGCTAAAGGAACGAAATGTTCAAGTGTCCAATGAATGATTTCACTATTCGCCACGTGATTATCATATTGAGCTTCGATTCATTTCGCTATCGATCATTTGCAAGGGATGATAGAAGATGTTTCGTTTACTTAACCAGTTAACTGTGGAATTTAGTTGGAGAAACCTCTGGTTCTGCGCGCAATAAAATCGAAAAATAGGGCGTGTACTCGTCGAACGCAGGACGAATGCACGTAGAGTATATTTTAATGAAGGATCAAAGAGAAACAAAGAATTACATGTTTATGCGAAGAAATAAAGAATTCATCGCTGAAAGAATTAGTTAACTGGTCAAGATACCTATGAAATTTCAAAGTGAAACATTGAAACCAAAACAGTTTTCCACTTCGATCCACGAGGAACATCGATTTTCAATCAGGAAGTGTTAACCGAGTCTTCTCGAGCGATATTCGAAGACGAGGTTCGATCAAAGTCCCGTAACAGCGTCCGCCAGCGCGTACCGTTTTCGCGGCAGATTATTGGTCACGGCGACCCCGTTCGAGTTCGAGACGATTATCGGAGGCCCGTCGGTGCGTTCGCAGGCAGACACCCTCGTCGTAAGGGTTTCCTTCGGCCGGCGATCGTTAGCGGGCCGGCGCGCCTCCGGCGTGCAGCGCGGAGACGAAGAGGAGCCAGCGGGAACAAGAAGAAGTAGAAGAAGAAGAAGGAAAAAAAGGAACGTCGACGAGGAAGCTTGGCTGGACGTTCGTTAAATTTCGTCTTCGTTAGCGAGAACTCCGTCTCCCGGTTTCTTCCTCTCTCCGTCGATTGTCGGGCCCGTGTAAACACGCCGGGATCCGGGCGACGAAGAGGAAGCGGAACGAGCAACTTCTTTCCGGCGAGGAAAGAATTCGCCGGGGGAATCCTACCGGAAGGAAACGAACGGGAGAGAGCTTTTTTACGCGGGCAGAAGGGGCGGCGGAAACAACGCGGAAGAAGAAAGACAAATGTTGATCTT